AGGTACAGCTGTTCTTCTTGTGAGTTCCATCTTGACGACCGATGTGCTTTGCTCATCACCAAAGATCTCCCAAAACGTGATCATCATTTTAGCCATGTTAAACACCCACTCGTCTTTGTCCAAATGCTTAGCAACGAAGTCAAAATAAATTCTTCCTGCTCTGTTTGCTCAAAACCATTATTGGGCACTTCTTTTTACAATTGTCCTGATTGTGGATTTTTCCTTCACAAAGAATGTGAGGCAGAGTTGTGGCCTAAGATTGAGCATGTTGCCCACCCTGAACACCCTCTTATTCTTGTATTTTCAAAAATGCGTACCTGCAACTTTTGCCAAGATCAAAGTTATGTGAAGAAATTTGGATATAAATGCTCCCCTTGTGACTTTTATATTCATCATGAGTGTACCTGTACCTTACCCAAGTCCTTCCATAAGAGTAAGATCCATGACCACCAGTTGAGCCCATTCATGAGGAAAAATCCCTTCATTTGCGATACATGTGGGGAGGAAGGAGATGGTGCTCGCTATGTTTGTTTGAAGTGCAGCATCATGATCCATCGGGATTGTATTTTCCTGCCAAAACTAATCAAATTCAAACTGCACAATCATCATATACTCGGCCACAACTACAGGATTCCGCAAAAAGTGGGTGAAAAATGGACTTGTCAATTTTGTTTCAAAAAGGTGGTGGTAGAGTATGGGAGTTACAAATGTTTGCACTCAGATTGTACTTATGTTCTTCATGGGAGATGCGTAAAAAAGAATAAAGATCGTCTTTATATCGAAGTTGAGTCAGAGAATGAGGAAAGTGATGATGAGGCTTCTTCTTCTTCAAGTTGTGCTGTGGCGCTAGGGGACAAGATAGATCATTTCAGCCACGAGCATGAATTAGTGCTTGATAAGGAGGAGATTATTATGAATGGTGATAAAAAATGTTGCGATGGGTGTGTATTACCAATCTTGGAGGCCGCTTATAGTTGTCCACAACCAGAGTGTAATTTCTCCCTTCACAAGGCCTGTGCCCAAATTGGAGAGTACGAACCACATTGGGCTTCCCGCGATCCTCTTCAAGTTAGCATGGAGTTACATTTTAAGTGTCTCTTTTGTAAGCATTTCTGCAGTGGTTTTTCTTCCTGGATAGATGATGGTCATTTTTACAGTAAAATTTGCCTCAGATGTATCGAGATCCCTTTCACCACTACCCATGAAGCACATGCTCAGCATTCCCTCTTCTGTGATAAAGAGCACAAGGGACCGTGTAGTGGCTGCGGTAAAGAAATGGGTGATTGTGGTGGTTACAGATGCACGCTAGCAGAAGAAGAGGAGAATTGCAAATTTTTTGCCTTGGACTACAGATGCCTGACACGGCCCCTTACAGCTCAACATAGGTTCCACCATCACCCTCTGAAACTCACTTATAAAGATCCTTACAAGGATGATGATGGTGATCCATTTCAACACATGTGTGAAATCTGTGAAGATAGAAGAGATCCAAAGCTCTGGTTTTATCGGTGTGATGAGTGCGATTTTGATGCTCATCCCGATTGCGTTCTTGGAGATTTTCCTTTTATCAAGCGCGGGAGCATTTTTGATTATTATAAATATTATAAGAGATGTGATTCTCATCAACGACAGAGTCTCATATATTTCCAGAGTGAGAAATATCCCTATCCGAAATGTGGTGCGTGTGGCCATCCTTGCAAAGATCAGCTGGCTCTTAAATGCCCTCACTCTGAATGCGACTTTGTCAGACATTTTGTTAGGTGTCCCGCTCGACAACGTTAACATATGGAGGCGGTAACGGCGTCCACGGTAAAGGATAGAGGAAACTCAGACCAAATTGGTAATTCTCCGATTATTATTATTATTATTATTTTTAAATTCGATAGTGTGATTTAAATCTCTCATTTCTATGTCATAAATTGTTTTGCCAAAATTCAAACACTAATGAAATTACTTTGATCGATAACCTCAACAATTAATTAATTGATCAACATAGCTGTGGCAATCCTTGCAAAGATCTGGTTCTCAAATGTCTGCACTTTGAATGCAATTTTGCTCTACATTTTAGGTGTCGCAATTGGAATCATCCAAAGGGACTTTCGTGGCGGTTACGGTTGAATTATCGATGAGTTCATCTAATGTGCTTAGCTGGCCCAAAACGGCAATCATTGAAGACGTTTTGATGGTATGTGCTTCTGCTGTCTGCATTCTTATGCTATAAAAAAACTGCAAGAAACTAGCCACCATTGCACGATCCTTCCGCGAACGATTTCTTGCTTAGGTTTGTGCAGATGATTTGCTGGGTTTGCTTTCTGAAAATAACAGGTAAGGAGTTGCTATTTTCGCTCGAAATTTGCTGGATTGGTTCTCAATTGTTTTCATTAGATCTTTGATTTACATAACGCAGATTCTGCCACGGGCAATGAAGATTTTGTGCTTGATTCCATGGTCTGTGACTCTAATTTAAGGCTCATACCAAACCAAAAGGATGGAGAAGAGGAAATTTACACAATGGGATGCCTTTACCATTCTTTTGCTATAAATCCAAATCGAAGAATCCCTCTGGCGGTTGGTAATCTCATTCGTTTCGGAGGAGCGGGTTCTGAAGCAAGCATCCATCTCCATTTGGATCATTGATGTCCAAGCCGAGGGTTTTCTCACTTCTCATTCGGAGGAATGAAGGTGGCGCCTTTCTCACCAACTATTCCACATGTGGCCTGTGTGAGTTTTAATGGTTTTATTACTAGGAATATATACTGGGAATTAGTATAGTTGGTTTAAGACTATGTTTCAATCTCATGAGAAGGATTTTTTACATAATTTATGGTTCTCATCTAACAAGAATTTAATTTAGTTTGTAAATTTGATTCCCTTCTAACTGAATTCTTCCTATGTATGCAGTGAGCTAGGTATGAGGAGTTAAAACTGTGTGCTACTCCCATTATAAATTTTATTTATTTACCAGCTTTCATATGAAAATCCATGGTCAAATTTACCAAGCAAAAAATTAGGGAAAACCAAAGAGAACATGAACACGATGGAAAAAGCACTTGGTGGCAGGTAATTAGATTTGGGATTTAATGGATTTAATTCCAGATGTGATTTCTGTTCATAATCTTATTCAATGATGTTTTCATATATTTGCATAGAAAGAACAATTGAAAGAACAAGCAAAACCCAAGGCCTATATGAAGAACTTTCTCTTTTTTTGAACTATTAATTAAATGTTTAAATTACTTGCTTTTAATGTGCAATTTCTTGCAAGGGAATCTGTTTTGGTGCATTGTTGTAATGTATTTGCACTTAATTTGTTTTTTTTTTTTATCAATATGAAAAAAAAAAAAAGAAATCTGTTTTGACTTTAATTTAAAACCTGTGAGATTGCACGTTTGTTCAAGCAGCATAGCCACCTCTTTTCATGACCTTGGTAGCAAATCTAAGATGAGTTAAATGTTGCTACTAAGTTTTGTTTTTATTTTTTGTATATAGAGACTAAAAGTCATAGAATTAAGAAGTTTATAATGAGAAAGGTTACTGGATGCTGGCAATTCAGAACCGGTATGAAATTGATTTCCTTTTGATTCATTTAATTTGGTCTTTTCAATTTGTGGAGCCACAATTACTGAATTTGAACCTCAGCTAGCTACAAGAGTAAATTGAAATAAGTAGAAACATAAATACTTCTTCTATGTTTGGTGCCTCTCAGCATGACTTCCCATTGTTGTTCATCAAGTGTTAATTAATATTTTTTTTATCATTGTATTCAAATTTTCCAGCAAGTTGGCTCTTTGGATTTTTTTTTTTTTTTTTTCAATTTCTGTAGGCTCCCTAAACAAGATTAAAGTTTTGCTAGAATTTCAGCAAATGCTGTTTAGCCAAATGATATATTGGGACAGGGAGAGACCAAAGCTTCACATTGTGAAGATTGACAGAACTACCAATCAAAAGGTTCTTCTTTAATATGCTTCATGTTTCTATGAAGAAATAGCAAAGGGAGTTTTTTGGGAGAAAGAAGATCGCATAAACTCACTTTCTGAGCTGATCATGTTGGCATTTCTTCTCAAATTTGATGAATACGCCGTTGGCTTTTGAAGTGAAAGAATTTGCAAGTTTTTGTGGAGGACAAGTTTCTTTCAGCAGCCTAGGCATGGTGAGCACAGCTAATATTTCAACTTTTTCACATTTGGCTATTTTAATCTTCCTGCGCCCTTTTTTAATATTTATAGTTAATTTTTCGTTCATGCATATGAAGTATGGCTGGGTGAAGGATATGGTAGTTTGTAATATCAGGCTTATTTGGAAAAATTAGACTGTTATGAAGAAGGAGATTTCATCTTCACAAATATAATTACTGAATACTATATTTTAAAATTATGTTATCTAAAATCCTTTGGTTCAGTGGTTTAGGAGGATGTGTATTTAAGGGACTAATAAGATTTTTGGTTTCTATCTCATGTGCGATGTTGGAATTTGCATTTTGTATGCTATAATGATACTTCTAGCATTTTAACATGATAATCCAATAATGTATGGTTCTTGATTTATTTCTAAAAGTTGTAATTAATCTTAGATTTGCACTCCAGTTTCTTATTAATTCAAAAAGTGTATCTTATCCATTTGGTAATAGCATTGTCAAATAATTGTCTATGATTGTGGAGGACATCACCATAGAAATTAGAATGGAAAAGAGATTACTAAAGTTTTTTTTCTTACTAAAGCTTTGTCAATTTGGGATTGGGAGTAGTATTATTAACTTCTCATTCTTTTCTTGATATGACTGTTCTAAGGATAGTTACCATAGTTGGTATTAAGGTAATTAACTTTAAGTTTACAAATTTTTTTAAAAAAATTAAAATATGTATAAACCTTTTATTTATATTTAAAATAAGATACTCAATTGAATCATCTATAAGCCCGTGCAGTGGGGCAACAATCACTTGTGTTTTTAATTGCAGTACCTTCATCATGAAAAAACCATTCTTTAATTTGTTTCTATCATGTAGAAAACAGGGAGAAATATGAAAGAATGGAGAAGACAAAGGCTTGTAGCATTTCAAATCATTAATTAGACCTTGTTTCTTTTACCACTCTGGTATCTCTAGCCGTCCAATTCGATTGGTAATTACTCAATTGGTAATTATTCTCCTCTTTAGAAATTCATATGTGCAGATAGATATATGGTTCATGCTTTTGATTCTTTCATGAAATGAATGTATTTTGCAGCACAAACTGTAAGTATTGGTTTTACCATGCAAAGCATTCCAGTCACTCAGACCAGCAGGGCACAATTGCTTTCACTGATGCCTAATGGGGTGGTATATTACCATGACTATGGTTTATGGTCAAATTTGCTATATTTTAATTCATACATAAAGAGGAATTGTCCTTGTCTCTGATACTGTAACACTACTCATGTTAATTTTCTTTCTTTGCAGCCTCCACAAGGATCATTCAGGTACAATTCCTATACATTGCTAAAGTTTGCTCTTACTTTTTCCTATAAAAAAAAAAAAAAGAGCATTAATTCAACTTAATACAGTCTGGTAGTGTAGCTCTACTTGTCAATTTCTACTTTTGAAAAGAAGATTTACTTTGACGTGAGCTTTATAAATGTATAGACACAATTCTGTACAACTTGGAACTCAACTTTTCTCGTTTCATAATGCCCCATGTCCAGATCTTTTGATTTACTATAATGGATATATCTGTTTTAAAAATCAATTACATGTCAAGTAGTCTCTAGCATTGTCCATGATATCTAACATTAAAAACTCATCTAGGAGAGAAAACTTCTTTTAAAATTGAAGATAGATTGTGAGATTCAAGCTTCAGAAGAAGCTGAGGTTCGAAACAAGGTAAATGATCAGGTGGGCAGCAAAATGCTTCATCCTTGGGGGAGACAAATAAAATACAGTGGAAATTGGCTTCAAGCAATTGAACTTCATCTTCTGTAGGTATGAGTTTAAAATCTTGATTAAAAAGATCAGTTTACTACTTTTTTTGGGACATTCTTAAGCATGAAAATTAAGCATACAACAAAAGCTAGATATTTCAATTTCGTAGTTTGTTTAGTTGTTAATTAATATGTAGATGAAGCGGCCTTAACAAAAGAAAGGAGCTCGAAGAAACAATCCTATCAGATGGATGCAGGCAAATGGAGAAGACGCATGCATGTTTTCCTTCCCAAGTATGCCTTGGTATGTCAAGCTCTTCAACCAATCAACCTCATAGTAATTTTTAACATTAGAAAATTGATGTTGGGTTTAACTGAGATTTAATTAACATGGAACAAAAAATTGTAGAATAATTAACTAATCTCAGAAATTAATTGGAATATATTCCTTAACCCTGGATTTTGAGAGTTAAAAACAATCGAATAAGAATTAGAAGCAATCTCATTTATAGCATTGGCTATTTCAAAAGATTATTCTGTTCATGATGAATCAACTGTCATTACAAAATAAGCATCTGCGAAAACTTGCTCATTACAAGCATTCATCTTGACAAGAAAACTGGAATGATCTAAGCTTCATCAACTTTGCATTCTTCATCAGGGTTTGTCTTGCAGAAATACTCCAAGGGATATCACCACTACCTGCAGCAGGCATGCCAGGCCACTTGCTTGCTACAAGATGTGCCAAATCAACGATCCTTTGGCTGCAAATATCCATGATATTACTGTAACTGGTAAGGCACAAATAAGATTATAGTTAGAAACGGAAAGTTTTAAGTAATGTATCCTGACCTGTATCCCCATTTATTGTCATACCAGGCACCACCTTAACCATGTCTTCTTCCATTACCATAGTGAAGAGTCGGTGGTAGAAGAAATATGGCTGCACCTGAAGTCCACTGAAACAAGAGGAACATCACAGATGGCCCCTCAGCTGCCTCTCTGAAGGCAGCATTGACATCCTTAGCTGTAATCCCCTTCTTCTCAACATTCACAACAAGGTCAACAACTGAAACATTTGGTGTTGGTACAAGGAGTGCAATACCATTGAGCTTGCCCAGCACAAGAGAGACAGCCTTGGCTGCACCGGTACTTGTTGGGAATATGTTTAATGCTGCCAGCCCTAGCTCTCCTCAAGTCGTAGTGTGAAGCGTCCAAGAGTCTTTGCATGATCACAAGTAGCAATTTAGCCGCCTTTGTGCACATAAATCTCCAACTTATGCATTTGGAATTCAAAATTCTTTGAATTAGCTTAAGCTCTACATCCAAGTAATATTTCAGTGAGTGCAAGTACCTGGTCTCTAGCGTATGAATGGGTGCTTGCCATTGTTCCCTTGACAATTCCTACATCAGTTTCAAACTTTCAATAAAGTCTGAGAAAATTCATAACTGTGGTTGTATGAAATTCGCCAGAACCAAATGAATTTACATCTGAACGAAAGTGAAGCAGTGCTTACAAAATCCTTCATGTTTGACTTTTACAAAAGGAGCCAAACAATTTGTGTTGCAAGAGGTATTATTGCAATTACCAAAATTGATCCACTTATAAATTACAGCATCAAGAACGAGAAAAAAAATTTCGAACTGCTTTATGAGCAATTATTTCTTTGGAGGTACTAACTTGATGATGTTTGAGACCACGTGAGAGTAATCACCTTTGTTGACTCCAACAACATAAGTTGGAATGTCTGCACCTTTTGCTGGAGCAGTGATGATAACTTTCTTGGCACCAGCTTGAATGCACTTCCTCGCCCCATGGCCATCCACAAAAAACTCCTGTTCCCTGAAGAATGCATATGAACTTAACCAGTCACCAAAAAAGACTCCTAAAATTGTCTTTAATTAATTTTCCATCCCTTTGCATAGTTTAGTAATCCAGTAGAGTTGTTGAAAAGATTGCTACTATGAAACTGTAACCCACAGTGTTTGCGCTGACGAAAAAAATTACGGTTTAGAGAACTCCAATAGATGGGAAGAAAGCGCAAGGACCCACCTCAATGACAATATCAATGCCAAGATCAGCCCATGGAAGCTCGAGAGGTTCCCTATTAGAGACAACCTCGATTGGCTTGCCATCAACACTAATGGTGGTATGAGTATCATCCACAATTTTGACTTCTGCTTTGAAAGTTCCAAGCATTGAATCATACTTCAACAAATGTTTGAAGCCTGTGTTTATATAGCACACCATAAGTTGATGAATGCAGCCAATTAATATCACATATTAATGTTAACTATGGTCAGGGAAGCTGTTAGTTACTTACATTCTTGACACCACCACTGTCATTGACAACAACCACATCAAGGGGTGAGTCTTTCCGGCCATGCCAGCACCGAAGCAAGTTCTTGCCAATGCGTCCAAATCCATTGATTGCAACCTTCAATTTGGCAACAGTTTCTCTCCTGATGGGAGTTGATGCTACTGTCTAAATTTGGAAATACATTCAAGGCCATTAGAGGTCAGAACCACACAATGGTGCCTCACAACAAACTATATTTTAGGAACATAAGCTTCATGTTGTAGGCACTTTGAAGATTTTTGTACATTTTTACTAGATGGCTGATTATTCACGAGGATGGTGCGCCTTTTCTTTCATAGAAGACATCATGCAATTCATGAAATGTTGTAGGCAGGGAAAGTTTCTTTCATGCAGCCTAATCCAAAGCTCAGAAGATCTGATCAATAGTTTTACTCTCTTTTTAAAAAAAAAAAAAAGAAAAAGAAAAAGATGAGATTATTAGAAGAGTATACAAAACAAAGTGTTTATATCGACTCAGAACTCCAAAACAGCTTAATTGTGCCGAATATTGCAAGAAAGCACTGAACATTTTTAGAAAGATATTACTATTACTGGTCTAATCTCTGTGCACAAGCATAAAACAAGAAAGAAAATTCAGAAAAGATTAAAAGGTTGCAGTAGGCAATCAACCTTAGGAGTAAGCTGAGCAGCCACCACCTTAGAAAAAGAAGTTCCTCTGGCGTTTGTAGCATATATCACGCAAGGGGCTGGAACGGAGACCAGAAAACTCAGCTACTTGCAGCCTCTACAAAACAATATAAGAAATGAATATCCCAGAAAACTTATGGGAAAAAGAGAAATCAAGAAGAAAAAGGATAGACCTTAGAAAACTTAATTTGTCCCTTTGTTGGACTATGCTCGTTCAATCAACCGAGTGTTATATTTCTTAACATTCACAACGAGGTCAACAACTGAAACATTTGGTGTTGGTACACAGAGTGCAATACCATTGAGCTTGCCCATGAGCTGGGGTAGCACAAGAGAGACGGCCTTCGCTGCATTGGTACTCATTGGGATTATGTTTAGTGCTGTAGCCCTAGCTCTCCTCAAGTCACGGTGTGAAGCATCCAAGAGCCTCTGCATGATCACAAGCAGCAATTTGGCCTTCTTTTTTCAAATAGATCTCCAACTTTTCTATTAGAATTCATTTGGAATTCAAAGTTCTTTAAATTAGCTTAAGCTCTACATCCAAGCAATATTTTGGAAGTGCAAGTACCTGGTCTCCAGTGTATGAATGGGTGGTTGTCATTGTTCCCTTGACAATTCCTGCACATAAGTTTCAAACTTTCAATGAAGTCAAGGAAAGTTCATAACTGTGGTTATATGAAATTTGCTTGAACCGAATGGGTTTACATCAGATTGAATGTGAAGAAGTGCTTACCCAATTCTTTATCCATAACTTTTACAGAAGAAGCCAAACAATTTGTGGTGCAAGAGGATTACCGCAATGACCGAAATTGATCCACCTATAAATTGCAACATCAAGAACTAGAAAAAAATTTTCAAACTGCTTTATGAGCAATCATCTCTTTGGAGGTACTTACCTTATGATGTTTGAGACCTCGTGAGAGTAATCGCCTTCGTTGACTCCAATAGCATAAGTTGGATGTCTGCACCTTTTTCTGGAGCAGTGATGATAACTTTCTTCGCACCAGTTTGAATATGCTTCCTAGCTCCAGGGCCATCCACAAAAACTCCTCTTCCCTGAAGAATGCATATGAACTTATCCAGTCATATAAAAAAACTCCCAAATTTTGGTCTTTAATTAATTTTCTATCCCTTTGCATAGTTCAGTAATCCAATACAGTTGTTGAAAGATTCCTACCATGAAACTGGAACCCAAAGTGTTTGTGCTGGTGAAAGAAATTATGCTTTAGAGAACTGCAATGGATGAGAGGAAAGCACAAGGACCCACCTCAATGACAATGTCAATGCCAAGATCAGCCAATGGAAACTTGAGAGGGTCCCTGTTAGAGACAACCTTGATTGGCTTGCCATCAACACTAATGGTGGTATAATCCACAAATTTGACTTCTGCTTTGAAAGTTCCAAGCATTGAATCGAATTTCAACAAAGGTGAAGCCTGTGTTTATATAGCACACCATAAGTTGATGAATGTAACTAATTAAATCACATG